TTGGGGCCATCTTGGGCGTCTTGGAGCGGTCGTTTGGCTTCTCGGAGCCTTCGTGGGCCGTCTTGGAGGCCTCTTGGGGGCTTCGTGGCCCGTCTTGAAGCCCTCTTGGGCCAGGAAAAGCCCCGTGGAGCGCTCGTCCCGGACCCCCCCCCCCCTCCAAATCGACCGGACCGGGCTCCCGGGGGAGGGGTTTGGGGAGGGGGAAGCATCTCACACGCCGATGATCCCCAAGGGGTCGGCGGATTTGGTGCAATCTATTTTTTGTGGGAATGCGATACACTTGGGGCGTGCCATACATTCCACAGGGCGCGAATGTGTTGCTGGATCTTCGCGTGCAATACACTACTTGCAGTACAGTGCAATACAGTTCTCCGGCACAGCACATTTGCAATGCAATTGCACGAACTCTATTGCACCACCCCCTTTCAGCTGGATCCCTTTTTAGGGGAACGAAAAGTGACATAAACATAACAACTCGGAGGTCCGCGCGGATTTCTTGGATCGGCGCTGGGGCCTGCCGGCGGCGCCTCCGGCGCCGCCCCTGGCGCGCTCCGCGCGCCAGGGAGGGGGGTCCAGCGCCGATCCGAGAAATCCGCGCGGACCTCCGAGTTTTTATTATGTTTGTGCCACTTTGCGTTCCCCTACTTCTGGGTCGCCCAAAGACTCTTGGGCCATCTTGGACGCTCTGACCGCTCGCGGCGTCCCCCGTCCAGGTCCATGGGAGGGGGTAGGGGGAGGGGTAAACCCCTCCCCGAAGGGGAAGAAGGAGGGGTGGAAGAGGAACCTCTCGAAACCACCGTCGCCCAAAGCGCTGGTGGGATTGCACGAAATCTATTGCACCACCTCCTTTTAGCTGGACCCCTTTTTGGGTCCCCGAAAGAAGCACCCCTGCTTTTTAGAAGGCGCGGGCCTTATCTGTAGATGTAAGGCCGGCGCCTTCTAAGAAGCAGCCTCCTTCTAAGAAGCCCTCCCCCCTCCCCCTACCCCCTTGTGCGCGCCGCCAATTTTGGGTCGCCCAGAGACTCGGGGTCGTTCTCCCAGGACGCCTCGGGCGACCGGGGCGCCTCCCCGTGGTCCCCGGGCCGTGCGGCGGCGGGCCGTGCGGCGAGAGGTCCCTCTCTCGGGGCGCCGAGGCAACGCCGCGCGAGCTGCCGCCGCGCGGCCTGTGGGAGCCTCCATCGTCCCCCCCTGGCTCCTCCCTCCCTCCCCAGGGGGGACCATAGGCAGTCCGAGGCAGTGCCCTTTCCCTCGAGGTCCCACGCCTCACAGGGGCCGTGACTTCGGGGGGGTTCTTACCGCCCCGTCGCGTCCAGTCGGCTGGGGAGCACCGCGTATCTCGTTTAAGATACGGCAGAGACGGAGCAAGTATATAATCCAAGTAAGCATGCTTCTCCGATGTCTCGATCACAAAAACCTCCCCAGGGCCCACGTCGTTCCGATGGGTGCGATTCGACATCGATGTCGGCTGGCTCGATCCGGCTCGGTTCTGACCTGCCGGCGGTCCGATGCGGTCCGATGCTCGCATGGCGCTGCTGTGCATCGTGGTGCAGCCGATCCGCTTCGAATGCGACTCCGTGCCGATGCAGCTCGATCCGACGTTTTCCGATTCGATACGATTTTCCCGGTTCGATGTGGACTGACGTTGCTCCAGGGGTCTCCAGAGGTCTCCTGAGGTACCCCCCCGTGCTTCTCTCGCGGGGACTCGTAGATCGGGGATTTTCCCAAGGTGGGGTTAGGGATTATACCCAGATGGACACCACATTTCCTTCTCGCGCGCGTCGTTGTGAGTGACTTTCCTCTCGGACCCCACCTCTGCCCCCAGCCCACCTTTCCGCCCCCCTGATTCTTCTCCCTCCCCTCTGCTGCTTGCTGCGATACCTGACATCTCCGCTCGCAGCACCCCGTCCCACGACGGAGGCTCTCGGGCTCCTTCTTCTGTGGTTGCCGTCTCCCGTGTAGGTGGCCACGTGCAGACCCAACCCCTGCGTCGGGAGGGAAACACTAGCCACGAGGAGGTTTTTTTCGGTCCGGGGCCTCACCCCGGCCTCCGGACCATCAAACGCCGCTGCTCAGCGCGATGACCTGTCTTAGGGAAAGCCCTTTGGGTCCAGGACTGGCAGCCAGGGCCCCCTTCGCCCCTGCCAGAATCTTTGACGGCTCCCGCGTGCTTCGCCTCGCACGCTGTGGCCTGGCGAGCGCTTGCGAAGCGTGCGTGCCGTGCTCCCCAGTCGGGCAGAGGCTCAGCATCAGCGCGTGCCTCATGATGTCCAGGAATTCCCAGCGCTCCTCCTCCCCTCCTCCTCCTCCTCCTCCTCCTCCTCCTCCTCATCATCCCCTACTTCTCCTCCTCCTGATCCTCCTGAGCTTCTCCGCCTCCCTGAGCCGCCGCCTATAGCCTCCGACCCTTCCTACTTACCTGATCCGCTCCTCCTCGCCGGATCCTGCCCCCCGCATCCTCATCATCTCATTCCGCTTTCCAGGCCTCCTCCTCGCTCCCCTCTTCCTCCTCCTCTTCTGATCCTCGTCCTCCTGATCCTCCTCCTCCTCCTCCTCCTCCTCCTTGTGCTCCTCCTCCTCCTCCTCCTCTTCCTCCTCCTCCTCACGTGCGGCAGCGATATGGTCTCAGAGGCTCGGCCGTGGGCCGCTGTTTGGAAATGCCCGCAGGAGGCCCGCACTCTGATGGATGTTCAGGTTGCAACCCTTGGGAGGTCGAGCTCACCGTCGGCCCCAGTATCTCCTTAGCGCTCTGGCGTAATCTGGCCTAGCCCACCTTTGTCCAGCCCAGTCCGGCTTATTTTTGGGGCTTCATCTGGCGTAGTCTGGCTAGGTGGCCCCCTGATCTGTCCGAACAGGTCCCTTACGCGCCCACGAAGACCTCCCGGGAGCTGCCTCACAACCCTGGTGGTTCCCTCAGAGGGTGTTTCAGCCAGGGATGTTTGGCCCGGCGCATCTGCACAGCTAGGCGTCGCCTGTTTGTATTTTTCCGTGTTCGCATGCAGCTGGCGCTCTGGTGCCAGTTGGTGGGACCTTCGCGGCTCACCTTGGCGAGGCCGATATTCCGATTCCGATTCCGATTCCTTTCAGGAGGGAAAGAAACACACAGACACAATTAATCGGCGATTCCCCAGAAAATATGGGAAAATATGGGAAGTGGGGGGGAAGACAAAAACCCAGAAAATATTGGGAAATATGGGGAAAATGTTTATTTGTGTGTATTTATTTGTGTGTCCCAGGGCCCCTTCATCCTTGCGCTCGGCATCTGTCTTGGAGGCCCAGAGCGCGTGCAGTGCAGGAGGTCGGCCCAACACCCTGCTGCCCCAACTCCCTGTGGACTGCTGCGGGGGCAGGAGGAGATCCAGGGGGGGGGAGGGGGAGCATGGGGAGGAGGGAGAGCAGAAGGATAATTACTCTTCGGGGGGAGGAGCACAAGAGAGAGGAGGGAAGCGTGGAGGAGAGGGAGGAGGAGGAGGATGAGCAGGAGGAGGACAAGGAGGAGGAGGAGGAGGATGAGGAGGAGGAGGAGGAGGATCACGAGGAGGAGGAGGAGGAGGACTAGTGCAAACCCAAGAACCATCAACGATGTTGGAATAAACCCTTCCTTCAAGCTTTCTCTTCATAGGCCCCTACAACGGTTCATTTCCACTGAGGCAACTGCTTCGTTGGAAGGCGACCGTTTGAAGACCCTGAAGCATGCCAAAACATTGTTCTCGGGATTTCAACGCCACGGATCAACCTGACTGCTGCGTCTTGACGATCCAGAACCGTGCCAGTACGATATTTTTGGGACTTGAACACCGTGAATCAACTTTTTTGTTGCACCCGCATAATCCCGCATCCTTCCAAAACGCCAGTCCTGGTAGTGAATCATGGGAAACATAAAACCCTTGCAAATTTTCAAACCGAATGTGCGCGGCGCTAAGGCGACAGCCACATTTTCAAAAGGAGCCGCCCTCAATCCGTGAAGCTCTTGCAATTTTTTACAACGACTGTGCGCGGCGCTACGGCGACAGCCACATTAAAAAAACCACCCGCCCTCAATCCGTGAAGCTCTTGCATTTTTTTGAAACGAATGTGCGCGGCGCTAAGGCGAGAGCCACATCTTGAAAACTACCCGCCCTCAATCCGTAAAGCCCTTGCATTTT